CATTAACATATATTTTTTTAAACTGCAAGTTCAAACAGGAGAATTTTATTAAATTTCATAACGTATCTGCATTTTCACATATTTAAACATTATTTCGCTAATATTTTGTTGATTTACATACAGTAAATTGCATATAAAAGAGGAATAATTTCACAATGATTTGACATCTATAACTAAGAGTTTCTATTGTAAATCTCCTGAAACAAAAACTGGAAAACAAAGCCTTTTTTCAGCTGCAACAGCATAACGCAAAATATACCCCATATTTTAGGTAGTAAATCTTTAATATTTTTATTGTCTAGAACATGGGAGTGTTATATATCATTTAACTTGTTAGGGGTACCATTTTGTCATAATTTGGTCATAATTGTTAAGGGTTTAATCATATATTTTGATGCAGAGTGCATTATAACATAAGTGAGTATGAAAAAACACAAATACTGTGAAAATGGCGTCTGTATTTCGGTCACGCTATGACCTCTGACCCCCTAATAAGTTTATACAGAATTGAACATATTTTCTCTATAATAGGTTCATCAAAGAAAAAATATTTGCAAATGTAAATATATTGAAATGGAAGTTATCCAATGGAAATTCACTTCGCGGTGTCCTAAGAGAAAAATGAAAATCGAATAAATTAAAATGGTCGGGGCCATACTTTTCACGCGCACAATTTACATTGAACGTTGAATATAATGCCATTTACAAAGATGGCCCTGCAACTACCTATTTTGATATAGCAACAAACATAGCAGAGGATGATGCAAGCCCTCTTGCTCTTACACCATTTTAATGTCCATCAAATCTTTTCGGTAAATTTAAAATTCATCTTTAAAAAATTTTAATCGGCTTATTTAAAGAAAAATGCCTACTTTTATATTTCAATTACAAAATAAAACCAGAAAATGCAATCATATTTGTCATTTTTGGTCAAAAGAACAAATGTGCAAAGTAGATCATACATATTAGTCCATATTACAATACTGAGAGCATATCGTAAGAAGGGAAGTTTTTTTTTTTTTTTTTTTTTTTTTTTTTTTTTTTTTTTTTTTTTTGCGTATTAATTAAATTAATACATGTATATTTTAATGTTGATCATTTTCCTATTATCATATGTATTCTTTTTGTCTCTTTGTGTGAATTTAGGAGATTTTATTGTATGGAAGTCACCCTAACAAAACTGTTTTTGATCTTCAGCATTTTAATCATAGAAAGTTTAAAGAAACTATATCAATCTTGTATTCTTTTAATAGTTTGTGATGGTGGTAAATTTGGACTAAATTGTGCTCAGTCATGCGGGGTTTGCTTTGATAAAGAACAATATAATGTCATCATATAAATGGGACATGCTTGAATGGCTGCGATAAAGGTTATCAAGGAGACAATTGTACACAAGGTAATTAATCAAAGGTGATTCTCCATAGTAATACATTTTATCATTCTTCAAACATTTTGATGCCTTGTAATTAATACACACAAATGGTATTTCTTAACACAAACACAAAACAGTCAACGTTGACATGTGCTCTTAGGTTATATGTACTCTTTTCTATAAAAAAAAAAATGACATGTATGTGCTGTTTTTTTTTCTTCTTTTTTTTAAAATTATACCTTGAAATTTGTACACATAGGTGTAAAATCTAAATCCTAATTCTTTCAATTAATAAACATATTCAAGGTAACCGAAACAATTTTTAAACAAACCTACAGGGTCAGAGAAATGATATAATCTAGTATCACTACTAAGTCAGAAATGTACTGACATTCCCATTTTTTACTGACAAACTTAGACAATTACTGACCTTGTACTGTCCTTACTGCAAAACTTAGACAATTACTGACCTTTCTACTGCCGGTGCTGATAAACTTAGAAAAGTGCTGACAATCTTAGTCGGTGCTGATAAACTTAGACAATTACTGACCCGATTACTGTCCCTGCTGAAAAACTTAGACAAGTGCTGACATTTACTGATAATTACTGTCCCTATTGTTCTCGCTCTAGCGGGGTCTGCAGAGGTGTGAAAATTTATTTTAAAAGGGTTGCAGTGTTTTATAAATATCTAATTTAATATATGAAATTTAAAAGAAATATTATTTAATGAAATGTTGATGTTTAGTGAAGAAGTATGCATACATATACACATATTTCTCTCTACTTTTTTATAGTGTGTATGACTAGCAACAGAAATTATTTAAAAAAAAAAAAATACAAGGTTAAATTATCAAATAACCCTTCAATTTATTACCTATGTTTGATTAGATTAGTAATAAAAAAATAAATATATTTCACTTTATGAAGTGAAAACTTGAAAATTTTGTATTTCCTTAATTTTCACTTTCAGAAATTAAATAATTTTAAACTCATATTTTTCTTTTCTTCGTATAAAATGGATTTTGTTCTTATTTACATCCACCTTTTCGACCATATTAGTGTTCCTTCTTTTTACCTATTTTTGAACGGTGTTAAAATCACATTAATTACGTCCGATCTCAAATGTTGAAAATTCTACCATCAATCAATTATACTTTAATAATTATTGTGGAGGAAAAAAGGAATTGAAGTGTGAAATAAAATTAAATTTCATACAGTTAAAGTATTCCATATTAAATTGTTTATATTTTCATGGCCAGCAATGCATTTAAATTCCTGATCTTTACGATGTTTGATTACGGTTTATCGGCTGTATGTGTAGACTGTTAAATTAAAAATTTATCCTTGATTAACTAATCTATTTATCATCATATACGGGCAGTCAAAATTAGATAAACGCAAATTTAAGCAATGAATAATCCTTCATTTGCTTTGACAATGTGATTAGTATTTCTTGAGTATAAGAGAAAAAAAAAAATGAAATAAAACAGGTCCGTAGAGCGCGGGGGCGGGGGGGGGGGGGACTTTTTCTGAGTATAGTATACTATGATATTTTTGCTATAGCAAATTTTCCTTTAGATACTGGTTGGCCCTTCCACATTTCATTAGTTTGAACCATATTTTATTTGAAAATGACAAGCAGAAAATACAGGCAATTAGTACAGAAAATCAAATATTTTATTACTGTAAGGTCGGTCACAGGCAAATCCCAGGATTTGGATAGTTATTTTTTTGCGCCCCCCCCCACCCCCCTTTGGAACTGTTGCTACGGGCCTGTAAAATATGGTATGCATGTTGTTTTTTGTTTGTTTGTTTGTGTTTCAGCTAGTGTACTTATCGTAAATACGCTAGTATGCGTTGAGCGTGTTTTATTTTGCAGTGTTTTAATATACTTGTTGTCGCATTGAATAAAACAGACATGGACAAATATTTTTTTTTATATATATATATAAAGGAGGAAATGAAATGTAAACCTTCATTGAACATCCCTATCAATTTCCTTCCAAGAAAGATTGAATTTAATTAATATTTGTAACTTCTCCCCCTATTCTTTTAATTTTGATCTTCCTCAACTGTTTTTCTGTGACACAGTGCTTATTCTTTTCAAATAAAATATGGTATGAACTACAAAAATTTATTCTTTGATACATAGTTAAATAAATTAAAATGCTTCATTAAAATAGTGTCATGAATTATACAAAATGGACACTCTCTCTTACCACTTCCGGAGACTCGACACAAAAATGGCTGTGAATTAATTTATTCCTTTTAACATCAATGTAATGCAACATTGAAAAACTATCTAATATGGACTCTAATCGGAAGCACTCCCACCTGAATCAAGAATATGTGACAATACCGATACACAATATGACACCCCCCCCCCCCCATTTTTCTTTGACCTAACGAGTTATCTGCTTCTTGTCCATGCGACACAAAAATGGCTGTATTTTTATATACTTTTTAAAATCAATATATAACATGGAATCTGAAATACAACATGATTCGGATGCACTCTCGCCTGAATCCAGGAAATAAGACAATACGACCCCCCCCCCACCCCCTTTTCTCCGCCTGAACACGTTTATATCCTCATTTTGCCACTTGAATACAAAATTCAAAAGCAATTCAGGTGTCTGTTTTACAAAAAACTTACAACTAAGACCAAAAACTTAAGTTGATTGTAAAATTTTGCAAAATTAATTATTCTGTTTGAAATTGCTAGCATAAAAATACCTTGTTAATTTCTTTTTAAGAAGTTTAAAACCATTTTCAAATCAATGTAAATTTGAAATTAATTAGCAGAATTAAATTTTGGTCTTAGTCATAAGTCCTTTTGTAAAACGGGCACCTGGCTTTTTATTGTCGAGTAAAATGAAATATAGTATATAATCTTTCTTGTTGCATGGCTCTACTCTGTCCACAAAATATTATTTGGATTGGGAAAATTACACAAAAGATTAATCAAGTACCAGTATAAAGTCGGCTACACTGATCAACTAATTACAGGTTCTAGTCATTATACTCTAATAAATTCAGCAAGCGCACCATAATTCCTTGATTGTGTAAATGCAGTATTGCGGTAAACAAATACTCATTAGAAAAGGAATTTAATCAACTAATTTGCGAGAATGAGCACCGTCTTCGATGCTTACATTAAAAAAAAAGTGAGACTACATTCCTCTCCCGTTACATTAACTTGTAGAGATTCATAGACCTAGAATTCAGTTCACATTAACTTCCTACTAGGTAGACACATACTGTCACCATTCATTCATATTTTCCCGATAATCGACCCATCCTTTCTCCCTTTCCCAAAAACAAAACCCTGGGTCTGGCCTTAATATTGAATGGCACAACCAGTTAAATAGCCAATGTTATCTTCAGTAACATTTACCATAAAGTTTCCCTGCGCAACAACCATTATACAAATTGTTGACTTTAATTTTGTAACATGTCAATGCATCATAGAAACAATTTTTCAAAAGGAGATATTATTTATTTTAGTACATCATGTTATAAATATAACAAAGTTTATGACACAACATACACAATATATATATGGTCTATCCAAACACTGAAGAGAAATGTCTTGATAGACTTAATAATGTATATTTCTTTGTTCAGAGATAAATAGCAAACCAGTCTATGGTGAACAGAATTCAACTTGTATACCATTCCATGTATAAATCAGGCATTTTCCAAAATTCAAACTCTTATTTTCTTATTAATACTTAATACAACTTCACATCAGTTAACCACAGTTACCCTTAGACATTCTAATCAAATTAAGCAACATCCAAGATATGAATTACTTTGTCCTTTTCCACAAACACTACAGGGTCACTAAGCAAATTTACATGTACAAGTCGCTGATTTACAGTCTTTCTTGTGGTCTGAAAAAATCCATTTTCTTTCTCGGCCTGCGGATAAATGTCTATCACAGCCCATGTCTGAATGTTAAAGTTCACATTGTGTTCCAGAAAAACATTTATGTTTCCGAACAAGTTGGTGTGAGTTGCGCTCAAGATCTTCACTAGGCTACCATTTTTTGTCAATGCTAGGCTTTTGGCACAAAGCTTCCTCTCACGAGTTTTGTATCTCAGAGTTTCTTTCACAGAGTCTTCAAAGTGAAAAATGTCCATATTCATTCCGCTTCTGTAGTAACAGTTCATATGGTTCTTCATGTCACATGTTAAGGTAATATGCTTGTCAGATGCTGAGGAAATACTGTACATGGTAGGAAGCAAGTTGTCCAAGTTTTCACAAGCTGACATCAGTTGACTTTTTCCTTCTGAATGTGATGATGGAACAAACTTCTGACTCAGCACCATGTACATGCACCAGTCATACACCTAAATTGAAATACAAATTAAATAAATATAAAACAGTACAAAAGCAGCAACATCTCAAGTGAAGGAGATCTTAAGGCTCATCAGTCTTCTGACAGGAGAGATAACTCTCTCTCTCTTTGATAAGTGTCTATTATTCCTTTACGAAACTATCACAAGTATTAGAGAAGACCATTTATTCAAATTTTGTTCTGCACATTATGCTGATTTTGTCTTTTATAAATATAGACCTTTTATTACAATCATCAAGACATGTTACAGTATGTACACTATTTTATTATTATCATATCAACTGAAATGCATATCCACAAAATGAAGCTCAAGAAAAACACACACTGTGTCAGTAGCTATATAAAGTGGTGGTAAAGAAAATGAAAGTTAAAAAAATTTCATAAAGTATACTCACTGCATATGTCTCCATTACTGTTGATTCCTCGGCACCTTTCTTCAAACACTGGCGAGTGATCCAGCCATTGGCCCTCTCATAAGCAAAGAGCCATCTCCCATAGAGGGGTCCATACATTGAAAAACCATCAACAATATGGTGGATGAGGTGTGTGACTAAATTCTGTTAAATATAAAGTTAAAAAAAAGTCTGATTACATATGCACTAAAACCAATTAAATGAAATGTTTTATTCATATTTGAAAAAAGATTTAAATCAAACAAGACTTTTCCTTCAGATTCAAGTCTGACCCAGAAAGAATATAAAACTCATAGGCCAGAAATGTTGATAATTGGGCAAATTAAATAAAATAACTACATTTTGTACCTGCATGGACAGTGGAAAATCCCTTTCAAATAATGCTAAGGATGAATGGACTTCTCTCTGCAGATGTGGCAAATCTTCCTCTTTCAAAGTTGGTGACACAATTCTTTTAATAACATGTAGCATTTTCTGCAGGGTGTCTTCTTGTTTTGCAGGTAGGAATCCTTTGATGCACCACTCTAGAGCTCCACTTGTAACAAACTGTAAAATAAACATAATATTGTAAATCCAAAATACAGAATTAGTACCTGCATTTGTTTTGATTTAATACCTTTCAAAAAATCAGTGACAACAAACTTGTACAAGCCATAAACTAAAACTTATAAAAGCTCAACTAAAGCCTCAGTGCTGTGTGTAATAATAATAATTTATAATTTCTTAAGAAATATTTTAAAATAAATATAAGAATTATTGAATGAACAATTTACCTGAAGCTTAGAATTCATAGTCCGTAACGTCCATGGCTTTGTGAAATCTGGGCCTGGAGTTATGTCTTGCAAAAGACTGTACTTAATCATGGAGGCTCTCTCATCGGCAAGTTTCAGTTGTTCCTTAGAGAGGGACCATGGTGTTGGGGGAAGGACACATTCTGGATCAATGTTTTCTTCATTACGTTTTCTCTTTCTTTTCCCCTTTGATTTGGCTGATGGCAATGTAGAATTTACTGGTGGCATCGGATTTGGATTTGCCGTAATCCATATTTCTGGAAATCTGTCAAACTTTTTCTCACAATTTCTGATGTTTGGGCTATCATGTTTTCCAGTAAGCATATCCATTAAATGGCTTATAAAGTCAGCAATAGTATGCATGCCGTCTGGTTGCATTTGATTTCTGCGATCATGATATGGAAGTTTCATGAATGTGTAGGTACCTTTCATCCCCGTCTCTTTTTGGTGTTTCATTTTCTGGTGTTTGTTTGGCAGTTTGTCGTATTCTTCCCTTCGTTGTTTTTCCTCTTGAAAGGAGTAGGAAACAGGAACATTACTGTCTCTCTCTTTTAGTCCGAATCCAGAAGAACCTCGCATAGAGTCACTAAGAGGAAGGAAACTTCTGTTTGACAAATGAATGGTTTTCTTCAGGAAATGACAATAGTGTCCAGTCTCTTGGCAATACGGACATGATCTTAAAGCAGCTGCACCACTCAGATGTAAAAGTTTAGAATATGCTGGGATGTCGCACAGAAACTGTAACAATGCCACTTTTACTTTTACAGGTGCTGTAGTGTACGATGTCTTTACAGGAAATTCTGTCAAGCCAAGCAACTCCTCTGTCAAAATTTCCAAGTATGGCTCCAAATTCTTTGGCTCACTCCCATTTATACCACTTGGAATTATTCCCATTAAAAACATGGGTCCAAGGAATTGACGGATGTTTCTAGGCAGATTTATCCAAGTAAGAATAAGCGGCCACATTGATTTCTGACTGGATGAATGTTTGTTAGGATTCACTCCGTCAGTGAAAAGGGAAAGAGGGACACATAGTTGTTCCTGCCAGCCTTCAAAGACACCTCCTTCCTGAAACCAGGACTTGTATAGCAGTCCATCAGTAAAATCTGTCAACGTTCCACGTATTTTAATCTTATCGGCATATAACAACTGGCACAAATTTGAGGTTCCAAACCACCGTGCAAGTCTTGGCCCAAGTGGCATGTAGGTAAAAGTCTTCCTAACACGTCCATTGACTCTTCTAGGCTCACCACATTCTGGACAGGTATCAATATCAGCATGTGCACCTCGAAACAGCAAGCAGTCATTTATACAAACTTCGTACTTCACAAGAGGGATAAGAAGATGTTTAATAACATTCCTGGCTTCCTCAAACGATGCAGGCAAGTGGTTGGGCTTTGGGAGTGTTTGCTTTTCATTATGCAGTACATCTGAAATCGCTTTTTTGGACACCCCATGGTTACTTGAAAACACATATAAATTTTGCGTCACAGCTTCCAGCACAGTTACTTTGGATCCTTCATACAAAGGTCTAAGGAGACAAGGGTCCTTGTAGGCATCTTCATTGAACATGAACTTTGGAGTAACCAGTTCTTCTTTTCTTGTAATGTCATCCTGGGCATGTCTATAGAATGTACTCCTTGGTACCCACTTTCCACAGCATTCAGTACACTTGCACAATCTAGTAGATCCTTAAAAAAATGAAAAGAAATTAATTATTGCTGATGTCATTTTCAATCCCATTTGGATTTTTATTTATTAAAAAAAATTGGTTCCAAGATTTTATCTGAAATAACTCAAAGAATTCACTATTTTCATTTAAAATTCACACAAATTTGCAACAATTGTTCCAATAAAAAAATTATTACAGGTCTTTTTCTACATGGTCGTTTGTTTGTTTAATATCTATTTATAATAAGGATATCTTAGTTTCTTTTTTTTTTTAGGTTTTTAAATTTTAGCATATTGCTTAGCAAAAAACATCATTAACTTTTTAATTACCATCAAGTTTCACTTGAAAAGACATACTGCTGAGGACAAAACAACAGATACAAATGCAGAGAACCCATGTCATATTACTATCATGAAATTATAAGGACTAAACTAAAGGTAACTGGGGGGGATCAAGGGAGAGAGTTCAACAGCTGAACTGTATTTTCATTGGCCAGTGCTCTTAACCAATCAAAATGAGTTCAATTTTACCTTATCACCTTTTTTCTAATTTTGTTAAACTAGGAGTGAAGGATATTAATCCCCCCTTTCTCAAAAGGGCAAATTTATATTAAAAAAAAAAATAAAATAAATAAATAAATATCTAAATACATACAACATGTATTGTTATAAAAATAGACATTGTTTGTGAGAGGAATTGGTTTTGAACATACATAATGTATTTTATTGCCTTTAAATTTTACAAATGTGATAGCTGGGGCAGAAATTCTTAAAACTTAACAAACCATTTTCACACATCATGTACATGTGAATTACATACAAAACTTATTTACATATATGGGTCAAAGTTTTTAATTAATAAGCCCCCCTCCTCGAAGAAATTGAAAAAAAAATAATCAACATTACTTTACAATTTATCTTCCAAGAGTAAAGGTTGAGTTTAAACAGTATGTGATTTTCCCATTTGCCAAATGAATTCGTCAAATTTCTTTTCTATAACTTAAGGATCAAAATCTGTATATTTTTGCATGAGAAGAAATACTGATGATTATTCTCCAGGGGATGATAGAACATTTACATGTATCACATGTATGAACATCAATTAATTTATCGTAACAAAATTAATTGTTTGAAAACTCTATAATTATAATCCCATTCTAAATCCATCATTTATTTTGGAGATCTAATAACTATTCAATTGTAATGGACATAATTTTGTGAAATATTAAGGGAGATAAAAAACATGTACCACATGCAGGAAACTCAAATAATTATGCAATTATACTTTGTTTGAAAAACTTTGAAATTTTACCAATTAAAAAATTAAATTTGATTTACCAAATTTCTCAAATATTTCAAATTTCAACTGAGGATACGAAGCAAAATGCAGAATTTTGGTTAATAATGCTAAGTAATTAAAATATGTTTGACCATGCAATTAAGTTTTCATTGTTTGACCATTAGGAAGTCACAGACCATCGAATTGTTTAAGTAGTCTCTTAATTGTTAGGATAATAGTTTGAAGATGAAAAGTTACAGTGAGAGGGATAATTGCTTGATTACCTAATTATGAGATTTTAAAGACAACTATGTCATTTTCTTAATAATGACAGAATTATTGAGTCCCTGAGCCAGTCTTCAGCTTTATTCAGACCGTTCAGTGTGTGTTAATATAACGTGCATCTTCATCATGAACCCCTATCAAAATCTATCCTTTAATCCCATGGATTATAACTATCCTCCCAATGGATCCTATGCTCCCATACAGAACCCTACTCCCAGTACTGTCTATGTGCCTCCCAGTGTTTCTCAGTCCTGTGACTTTAATTGTGTTTGCTGCCTGAAACTGAAAGCGGGTCAGACATCTTCTTGCAACACCTCAAAGACAACTGTGGGAACCCAGACAATGCTTGAAGTTCCTCAAGGCCTCGATCCTGAGGGGTTTTGGATGCGAGGGACTTATGAGCATGCTTTATTACAGGTAATTAGCAAATTAAATGTGTCTTTCTGCTAATTTCATTTATTATTTAGATCTGTTAAGGTCCAAAATTCTGACTTCAATGTACATTTGAATAAATCTTTGAACAAAAATAATTGTGAAATTAACTATTTTTTGGAAGAACTTTTGTGGAATATATATTGTTAAAAATATAATGACAGAACTTGTATGATCTGAAGAACTTCATCTCATTTAAAAATTCATCTACTTTGACTATGTAATTTGTTAAGTAACTAAATTCAGTCATTTACTTAAGTATTTAAAAAATAAATTGAAATACAAAGAGCTGTAATTTGTCCCCTTAATCGATACACATTTATATTTTGAAAACCACATGCTTTATTTACATGTAGGAACTAGGGTACATGTACAGTGTGTCACGACAGACTGAAGGCCAAATAAAATTTTTGTATCTAAATTTCTACATGTAGCTAGCATGAGACTATAATTTGTAGTTTCATAAACTTCATAAAAAAAAGAAAACATATAATTATTATTTAGCAAAATCCATTGATTATATGAACACTTCACAATCTGTTCAGCTGTTTTAATTAAAAAATTCAAATTCTATTTTAGAAGTCTGTCAATAATGCCCTGCAAAAGTACAAGCTGTCAGGGAGAAAGGACAGTAACTGGGAGGCTGCAACAAATGAGATCATGAACTCCTACCAGTGTGACATGCCTCAGACTCCCACAAACAGAAGAAAGGTTCAAGACCGAATGAGAAAAGCAGTTTACTGGGGACGCTTCTACGAGAAAAAAGAGTAAGTGATCATAAAATTTTGTCACCTTTTTCATAGGATTTTGTTAAAAACAGTTGGAATGAGATCAATAGAATTAGAACTAAATTTGAAAGCCTAAGTTATTAAATATCCAGCTATCTGACACATACATTTCTGGTATACAGAAATGATAATAATAGTTCTGACTTTTCAAGATAATTCTTTTATCAAAAGTTTTCAGCACAATTAATTTGTTTATGTTCTTCATTCATCATGTTTTAATTATGTTATTGAATAAATGGGGTATTTCTGATGTTTATGAAATGAGTTGTTTTAATCTCCATATGTCATATTCTATACACATTAAAAAAGTAAAAAGTAAAAAAAATGATAATAATTAATATAGAAAAGGAAAAACAACTAAATAAAAAAATGAATACTTTTTTTTTCATGTAGTACCAAGTAGTATTGATATATCTTGTAAAATTATAATAATAAATTAAAATGAGAAATTTAATCATGTTCTAAATTATAAAATTTTGATATTATCATGGTCATCAATTTGATTGATTTTCCTTGTATGTTGTGTATATCAAACACACAGTAGCAGGGGAAACCAGCAGAGAACAATAGACTTGTTAAAACCTATTGTCTCCACAGGTCATTGCTGACCATGCAATTAACATAGATTACACATGGAACTAACACAGTTAATATACTTCCTACTGTTAAGAAAGATCAAAAGAAAAATTGTGCTTTGATTTTTTAAACTTCTTTAAAAGGGTGAAATATAAAACAAAATTATATTTAAAATTAAATTAAATATTAAATATATTTCAGCATTGTTAACATTAATTTTTCTTTAAAGGAATTCTAAAGTAAAACATGTATTAGCTTAATTTTATATATTCATTTCTAATTTTTTCCCCCCAGATTCCAAGTAATCAAATAATTTTGATGTGAACATCCCAAAAATAAAATTTCCCCATAGAACCAGTACTGTGTTATTATTTATTAATCATATCATTTTAAACTAAAAAATTATAAGTACAAGTACATCATAAAATAAGGTGGTCTGCCTGATAAAATGTGAAATACATGCATGTACATATCTATAACCAGCTCTGGCTCTATTTGAAACCTTCCTGAATTTTTTTTTATGGTGTGATCATGTCAGTTCATTATATTTTCCAGAAAAGAGGCAGTAAAAAGGGGTATGACTGTTAAGGCTTTCCTTCGGCATTCCAAACAACATCCACAAGAAACAAGCAGTTCAGAACCCTCTGGATTGTTGGAGGAACAATGTGATACGTAAGTCATTATTTATTTCTAATTAAGATTAATAATTAAAGTAAAAAGTTAATACATGTAGACTATACATTTACATTAAACTAAACAGAGATTACCAGGTAGCTGTTAATTTTTTTTAAACAAAAATTAAAATATTTCATATTAGAATTCTGTAATTTATGAAACAATTTATTATGATTATTTTTTTTTTTTTTATCTTTTTAAAAAAAATCAAGAGTGTTCATCATGTTCATATTTTCTGTGAATTGATATATATGAAAGTAATGATGTCATTTTTTTCTTAAGTGAGGTTGCTGACCGTGGAGATGCTAGAGATATGACTGCACCAACAGCAGCTACTTTTTCCAGTGACTCCGACAGCGACACACCTCTGGCCGTCTACAGACAGAAAACCAAGGGCAAGAAGTAATTCCCTCATCAGTGGACACTCCCCATTTCACAACTAGCTGACATAGTCTGTGACAGTTTTTAAATATTATTTATAATATGTAGCTTGTGCATTGATGTTAATGTGAGAAATTCAATCATTAAATCACCTGTGAAAACTCTGGCATTGTACTCTATTTCTTTCCATACATGTATAGACTAGTTTAAAAGGAACAGAGCACCCCCATGTTGATCTACACAAAATTTTCTATGTCAGTCTGATATATATAAAGTAGGGTAAGAAAAATTATTTTTACTACTGTAACTGTTTATCTTACTTGAAAGAGACATTGACAGTTATCATATAGTATACTTACCACATCAATTCATGAGACAGTCATGAGGATCGAGGAAATTCCAACTTCTTCAGCGTAGTTTCTGTGTACAGTACTTAAGACTGCTAGGCACTTGAAAAGTTATTTCCAGCGGCAGTTTCAGTAGTAAATACATAAAGAAGATTGTTTTGTAAACAATTTAAGATCAAGATTGTCACTGTTATCATTCCATCAAGCTAGACCTCAAGGCAGAAGTCCTTCCGAATTTCCTTGTTCAAAAAAGCTTGTCGAACATCATATACGGGTTAAATATTTTAAACATTGTATACCGTTAAAAAATTACGCTCAGTCCTGTTATAAAGTTGTCTGTATTTCTCCTAAAAAGGCTAATTCACAACATCTGACACATTGTATGCACCATGTGCACCATAGGCAAACAGTAGAGCTAGAAACAATACGAGGAACCACGTCTTCGCCTTTGACAGTTAAAAGTCTTAATGTTGCAGATCAAACTAATTCATTTGTTGAAAAAAATATATTTGTTTAAGTTGTAAAAATTTTCAATAATGAAAGTACGGGCACACAAAAAAGTATCAATTGGTTGTTTTCGAATTTTTAAGAGAGAGAGAGAGAGAAGAAGAGAGAGAGTCTATATACATAAGAAAATAAGTCTTATTACCATAGTTATAATTAATTTCTTGAAAACAGTTTTCCCATTTCTGTATTATTTTTAGATGGATTATGTAAAAGGACATCATTTGTAATACATGTACAAGGTTCCATGTGTTGTGCCCCCCCCCCCCTTTCGGGGGAGAGCGTTTTCTTTCTTCCTAAGTGGATCAAAGAAAGGTAGAAATGGAGGCCCAAGTTCAACGACTTTCGTGCCCCCGGAGATTTTTTTTCTACATTCTACATTTCAAAGAGCGATAGCAAAATGAACAATTGATTTATAGATATAATAATTCGTATATACATAATTGATGGAATTAATTTCACCAGCTCTTCATGGGATTTTCGTTCTCCTATGATAAACGATATCAGCCTGTGTATATTCTGACTAGTATATTGTAATTTGTACGTTGACAAGTACATTTTGCAATGACAATGTACAGTTCGTGTTTTTATCTTTTTGGCTCTACAGGTGTGTACAAAAGGGAAAATGTCCAAAAAGAAAAGAAAAGGAAGTATAAATCACATGCCCTTAATTTTAATAAAAAATCCAGGTCAGCGAAGACCATTTAATTATGAATAAAATTGTACAAAGGGCACCGGGAATTGTTTTTTAAAAACTCTTGTTATATTTCTTTTTTCCCTATATCACGGACCTGTTTTAACCAATACTATATCCCATGTTACGAAACACACATCACATATACCGTAACGGAAATAATGTAAAAACAGCCCTTTTTCAGCTACCATGCATGACTGAATTTTTATGAATTCCTTTAATACTTACCTTAAATTTAATTAATGGAAACAAAAAAAGAAAAATACAAAAAATTCTAAATAAATATGTTCTATTCTTCAATGGATAAAATTCATAATCATACAATTCATAAATCCATTCATTCATTCTTTTTCTAACATTATATGTTTATTTATTTATTTTTTTTATTTTGTCACTTCTTAATAATAAAGAAAAAAAAACCCATCAGATATCGTAATGAAATTACTGTTCTTTAAGTTTTTCATTAGTTAAAAAAAATATACATTTCAGGAATGTATATTTGTATAGAAATATATATATATATATATATATATTTTTCGATAAATTAACTTTGCTTTGTAACATTTAGATGTATATAAAAAATAAGCAGCTCTGCAGACCCCGCTAGAGCGAGAACAATAGGGACAGTAATTATCAGTAAATGTCAGCACTTGTCTAAGTTTTTCAGCAGGGACAGTAATCGGGTCAGTAATTGTCTAAGTTTATCAGCACCGACTAAGATTGTCAGCACTTTTCTAAGTTTATCAGCACCGGCAGTAAAAAGGTCAGTAATTGTCTAAGTTTTGCAGTAAAGACAGTACAAGGTCAGTAATTGTCTAAGTTTGTCAGTAAAAAATGGGAATGTCAGTACATTTCTGACTTAGTAGTGTATCTCAGCAAAGCAACAAATTATTTATTCATTACCTACAATGTTGATATACTGAAAGTCACATTTAAATAAAGCAATAGGCGATTTTATTAACATCCTTTCCTAATCCGATAATATTTAAAATAATAAAACATTTTTAATTTTTACACGGAGGATAAAATATGCAAAAGATGATATTGCCTGCATTTTACAAACAAAAAATAATATACTGAAACGCAAAAGAAACGCAACATCCTATTTTAGATGGGAAAATTACATAAAGGATATAATTTTGAATCTAAAAAGTACGGATATCTTCAACATTGTAAGTATCGATAATTTAACGGTTGAATGATTTTCATGCCCTAACCGGAAGTTAAGTTTGAGTCCGCTTAACAGAAATCAAAAATTGCATGTTTCACAAAACATTTGACAAAAATATGGGGTTTTAAGGGTTTGTATCTATTTATCATAAGTAATGCAGCAATATTCCGCAAAATAAATTCGTCTTTCGTTTCCGGAAGAGATGCCAAGGCTTTCTGAAAATGACTTAAGTACGCATTTCAAATGCTGTAACTGGAAAATCTGAAAATAAAGGTCATGGAAAATTGCAGATGCAAAAATGCCTGAACAGGCTCATAGTATCATTAGCATGAATGATAGTCCGTGGACCGGAAGTCCAAGTGTTACTACACTGCGCTAGGTTAGAGAAAATTCGATTTCATCATCTGAAAAACGGACATTAAAAAATGGCAAATAATTTTTTTTTTTTTTTCGCTCAGATATCGAGATTGATGAACCTATTGCATCGTGAAAATCAATCTGCAATTGTTGTGTCTTCCATGCATGCTATAATTGAATGGCTGAGAAGGGGGTGTTTTAAACCGTCATGTGTTACTTTCTAAAGTTAAAAGATAATCATTTAACATTATTATAATTAAATCTCTGATGTTTTTAAATCGAGTTTAACTCAACTGTAATCAGTTTTGAAAATCATTAGTTAAAAGGTTCAAATATTTGTAGATTATTTCTTGTTGCGTTTCTTTTGCGTTTCAGTATAAAAAGAATATGTTTTATAAATTATATACTTTATAGAGATATCAAAATTTTTTATTGATTATGGGATTTTATTTATAGAATGTCCAGACGGAAGGTATGGATACAACTGCCAGGAAACATGTAGCTATTGTCCAGTTCTCAAGATATGCGACGCAATATCAGGGCAATGTAGTGGTATAAACCTATTCCATTCTTGGCATTTTGTGAAATATGAAGATAACGAACAGTATTCAATCTCGAAATTCAAATGAAACAATACAAATTTAGAGCAGGGCAAACACGGCCTCAAAATTTAAAGGTGGGATTAGGTGCAATGGAGTGGTGAGCATCCCATGCAACCAATCACACCCTCTGCGTGCTCCTTGTCTTGGTCGGAAGAAAAAAAAACTGTAACATCCGTAGATAGATCAATTTACAAATAATGGTCTAACAATTAGTATGACAAAAGTCAGTCAGCATTTGACTTAATGATAGGTTATATGTCCTGAAAAAAGGTCATTGTATCGACCCTTAAACTTGCAAAATGATGGCTACAAACGAGACTGTTGATATCCTTGTTTCATCAACTTGTTTGACAAAAGCTTGCGTCGTTTTAGAAACTGTTCATACGCAGAGCATGCCCTTGCGTATCGAATCAACTGAGAGACATAAACCCCGTATGCATGTGATACGTGTTTATTGCTGCATAAGTAAGGAAATTTGACGATTGAAAAGTTTAAGTCATCACGTTTATCATAAGGCTTTGTTTTAGGTTACCATTAGCATTTATTGTTTGGTTTGTAACTGAAATGCACATGTTTATTTTGTGTTATTACAGTTAAAAGATTACAAGATTCTAATACAAACAAACAGTTCTCACTATATCTTCTGTACGGAGTTGTATCGTCTCTTTTCTTAAGTGCTGGCTTAAACTTTGCTTTAATATTTTGGCGAGTTTGTTTTTAATTTTTTTTTCAATTGAACTTTAATACTAAATAATAGGGAGGGGGTGATATCCGCTTACTTCTTCTCAATATGTCTTAAAACACATTTAGGAGCTGTAGAAATAATGTGTGCAAAAGGAAGAATCACCAAGAGAGATGTACAATACAACTGGCAACAGAACCTATCAAGCCTGGAACAAAAGTCGATGACAATGATGAAGAGAGTGTAGTTTATGAAGATCTTGTTCAATATTGAGTCAGCACTCCATTTCTGATAACACACCTTAGAGGGAAGTTACAGAATGTGAATTTGTCCTTATTAAGAAAAGTTTTATTATGATCACTTTTAATTGAACTTGTGTATTTTAAATAAGTAGGAAAGAAAACCAAATAGTATAATTTTCAAAAACATCCAAACCGCGTGTTCTACTTCATACAACATGACTATTTCCAACACGAAATACACGTAAAAAATAATAGTAACAATTGACTTAACTCTCCTGATTTCGACATAATCTATTCAAATCGTTAAAAATACACAATTTAACTCTAGAAACGGGGGAAGAGGGGAGTTCCTGTCAAATGTACCAGAAAAGCTCATGGTTACGTCATAAATCTTGCTTTTTTATTCATTTTCTGTTGACGATTTCAAATGCTCCTTTCAAGCAATTAGATGCTGTTATCTTCTTCAGAATAAGAATATTTTCTTAGAGTACATAACTATGTATTGTTCAAGGATCTACTGAAAAGACATTACGTATGCTTGATAAATCGACTTTATCGGAGAATCAGATCTCCTGCTTTTTTTTCTCCTCCTCAGGTCTTTAAAAATGTCCTAACGTGCTATGCAAAATTTTTATTCATTAAAATTTTAAGGAATTGTATTAATTGAATTTTTGATTCTCTGTGAATTGTTGAAACTCTGTGATTAAATGTTATATTTATACCCTTCAAAGAGGTTTGAATTTTTTTTTATTTTTATGACAAGATTATGAATATAACAATGATGATGATGATGTTCTTAGTAATAAACCTTTTTTATTCATTGGGTTACTGTTTTCATTTGTTTTAAATTGAAAACACAAAGTGAAGAAACAGCTAAAACAATTAAAGCCGAACTATAGGTCTACTGTATACATTTGTTGACTGGGGTTTAAAGCAACAGTCTAACATAAAGCATAAATAAATCTTTTTTATAAGCTATATTGATATTTCAATGAAAATATACACTCTAAAAGAATTTTTAGGAATAATTTTTAATTTCGACACTGGCTTAATTTGGCACCAAAAGCACCTTATCCTTTAAAATTAACAACGATACAAAATATGATGTAAATCAT